TTTGCGCTGTCCTACAAAATATATAATTATATAATACATATTAATAATTCGTTATTTAACTACCTCTGGACTCATAACGATTCTACTCAACGGAAATTTTTATTTAGTGGATTTTTGATTTTGCGGACACTCCTTCCCCGAATGACCCGCTGGATCGATGACATTTTGCATATCCATTTTCTTTTTGAGCTGCATTATCAAACCAAGCCTGTGCCAGTCTCTGAGTTCATCTGCAGTCATCTTCCTTCATAGTCCCATCCAAATGATTGATACCTAATCATTACTGCAATAAACTTTCATTCAGTCATTCTCTCTCATTCATTCATCCAATTAGTTCGTTCGCTTGCTTATTTGCTCACTCATTTTGTAGTTCATCTATCCATTGATTTAACAACGTCTACTCATTTGTCTAGTCATTCATCCGTTCATCTGTTCGTAAAAATGTTCGCTCGTTCATTCATTAATAATTCATCAATCACTCGCTCTTTTATTCATTTTTTTAAAACTGTTCATTCTTTCATTCCCTCATTCATTCAGGAATTCATTCGTTGTTCCCTTCATCCGCTTATTCACTCATTTGCTCCTTCATTAATTCATTCATTCATCCTTTCATTCATATGTTCGTTCACTGTTTTATTGTTTCTTTTATTCACGCCCATTTCCTGTCAGGAATAATTTTTTGTCCAACGCTAGTCGATTCTTCTTCCCCATTTTAAACCGTTTCGGTGGTTTTTATGCCACTTGCTTTTCTACTCACATCATGAGTCTGAATAGGCGTTTTTAAAATTCCATTGTTTTCCCATTCCTGTTCGTGATCCCTTCCATCCATCGTTTCTTAAGTGGTTATGAGCACGCCTCTAAACACTATTGTTGGTTTCTTTCTTTTTTCCAGCCGGTCAGCGACATTACACTCTCACCATTTCATTTCACGTTCCCTGTTATGTGTTATGTCATGTTACATTAGCGGAATGAAAAGCAGCCATTTATACACAGGACGCTTGGACCATTCTTTCTGTCCAATTCCATGGTTGATTGTTAACGGGCAGGCAATGCAATCAATTTATATAACCACACGTCTGTATTACTACAGACGTTGACTCAAATTACCAATCCCTTTCTCTCTTAGCACAGATTTTCATACATAAGAATCTTTGCTTAAAATTTTCATAAAAATATATTTTGTATTTACTAAGTTACTGAAAACAAAATTCAGTTATTCTTCTAAATATAACAGTTATACGACAGTATGACCGTTAGAAACTTTTGTATATCTGAATATTAACATTAAAAATAAAACTTTCACATACATGAAAGGTTGTTCTGAAGAGTTACTGTTTAGGCTGCACCTGCAACCAAGGACCAATGGGACCTCCTGGTCCACGTGGTCCTGATGGAAAGAACGGAAGAGACGGTGCTAACGGTAGAGCAGGACGGCCTGGAAAGAATGCACCTAAGGGAGCGGTGATGGAACAATTGCCTAAGCAGACTTGTACCAAGTGCCCTGATGCCCAAAGCGGACCGCCTGGACCTCCTGGACAACGCGGTCCAAAGGGTCCACCGGGAGAGCCTGGC